AGTCGTAAATTTGAGAAATTTTGAAGATTTCCGTGTGATGGTCGATCATTTGATGGACACAGTAATTTGAAAAGCGCTCAATCAGAGACTTTATTACTACTAAGCGTTGAAGAAATATATGGGAATAGGTCTGCTATCACCAAAACTGGCTCTAACTTATAGCTAACGAAATAAAAGAAAACTACTAACAAATAAAAGAACTAATAACAAAATGAAGAACTATTAACAAATAAAGTCATACCTATACAATATGAACAGGAATCCAACCATTCTTCTATATAAAGTAAACTCAAAGAGGGGAATACTAATTACTATAATTACAACTCTATTTCTACGTCGAAAGACAGTTATTATTTATATAGCTGCAAAGAGAATCAGAATACTGCTGTCGATATACTTGTAGCATGAAGGCACTGAGTGCTAAAAAAGGTTTTCACACTTTTACTGCCTGTAGAGCCTACACGTCAAAATACCTGGTCCTTGCACTGCTTGCAGCTGCCGGACCTAATAAAGAAGATAACTAGTCCTAGCACTACTGCAGCCTCGGAGCCTACATATAATGAAATAAGGTCCTTGCACTGCTTCTGCAGCCGTGGAGCCTGACTTATTTAAAACAGAAAAGCTTAGGGGGGTGAGTTAGGGATGACAGAGCCAGCCTCTATACTAAGGCGAGCGATAGCGACAAGAAAGATAAATCCCTTAACATACATACAGTACAGCTTAAATACTCTTCATTATCAATAACAGATTTCACGCAACAATGAAAAACAGCCCTCTATTATTCCCAGCCCATTAATTTATATCTGAGCCACCTCTATCTACAATACTCAATTTTACAATCGCTAAAAAACCCACATTTAACCAGATATATGTAACAAACAATCCAAAGCCATAAAAAGATAAACCAAATTAAAAAATGTGACCAAATAAAGTCATCTGATTTCACAATAATGTACTTCGTTGACAGGCTTCCATTATTATTGCTCAATCAGAGACTTTATTATTATTAAGCATTGAAGAAATATATGGGAATAAGAAGAGGATCGGTAATTAGCAAAAACCCATCCTCTTAGAAATTTGCAGCTTAGAGGTATCAACTGACCTCAAATACAACATAACTGCCTTGCTGTCCTACCCACCTATAGCACAGATCTGTGCTAGAGACATGCCTACTTCCATTGCTGTAGTTGTACCACCAATCCTAATACTGTGGACAGTAAACCTACCACGCAGACCTGCATGCCTAGCAATTCTCTTAACAATAACCCCAATGGTTCCTACTGTTAATTGTTTCTCTTGTCTTGATAGAAAAAAAGGTTTATCCTCTGAGGTTACTGGCCTTATTAACAAATACTTTTTTAAAAGTTTCACTGGGCAGTAATGACTCTTAGACAGCTCAATAGGAATGAATTTGCCATTTGCAAATTGATCTGTCTTGGAAGAACTTATGCGGATTCAACATAATTTCTCTCCAAAATTAATATCTTTAAGCCTAAGGCTACATAATTCTCTAGGGCGACGCATAGTTCTTAACCCAATAGCCACTAATGCAGCATCTCGAATCCAAAAGTCCTTGCTAATAAAATATGGTTTTTTATCAATAAAGTGCTTTAATGCAATAACTGTTAAAGGGTCCCAGGACTATTCAGGGTCTCTAGCTTGTCTATATTCCTTTAATAGAGCTCTATAAACTCTCTTAACTCTATATTCCTTTGAAGGATCTGGAAGTTGCAACTCTAAATGTGCTCTTGAAACTGCACCAAAATTTCTGCAGGTCTTGAAAAAGACTTTGGCAAGTCAAGCCAAACAAGAAAGGACACAAGTGTATCAACTTCTGAAGGTAAAGCTTTCAAATTCATAATATTGCAGTAGTTACAAAAAATCTTCTATGCCTTGTCCAAACGCTGGTTCCAGTTTTTTGATACTGCCTTTCTACTTAAAGACTGTGCTTTATGAAGCAAACTACTAATCATCTCACTCTTACTGCCAGGAACTGCCAAGCAGGATTTTTCCATAGTTCTACCTCTTCTGAGATTCCTTTTACAAATGCTATTTGAACTGGAGGAAGAAGCAAAAAGTCTACTTGAATTTGCATAAGAGTTGGCCACCATTCTGCAGAGACCCACTTGGGCACTATTATTGTTGTATTGTTCCTTCCTGGATTATGTGTTGGAGAACATGATGAATTAGTGCTAGTGGGGGCATATATACAGTCGTCCTCCTCTATAATTACACCGTTTGTTTTACATAAAAAAGATGTGATTATAAAATATTAATAGTAATGTGATTATATAGCGTTTTTTTAATAAATATATTGCCAATAATTTTTCAAAAAATAGTGCTTATAAAGAGGGTGTGATTATATAGAAGTGACTGTAGAGGAGGACGACTGTAGTTGTTTTCTCCTGTTCAACTCTGTGCAAAACAATTTACACCCTCGGCCCTGGGCAGTAGTAATACCTGCTATTGAACTGAACTAACTTTGAATTCTGGTGATCTGCCATATGATCGATAAAATGAGGACCCCATTTTTCATCCAAGAAGTTGAAAACCAACTGCCTTAGTTCCCAATCATTTGAGTCTACAACTCTTGTTAAGTTGTCTGCTAGATTGATCTCTGAAGGTACCCAAAAGACTTTGCATATCCAATTATTGTGCTTGTCTAACAACTTCCATAATCTTTGTAACAACTCCTTTTGCTATGGGAGTCTGCCTCCTTTTATTATTGTACCTATAGCACCTTGGTTGTCTATATGAAGATTTATCCATAAATGTTTTAACAGATTTGCAAAGGAGCTTATCCTCAGAATAACTGCTTCGGCTTCTAATCTGGTTATTTCTCTGCATGATTTTCTTGAGCTCCAGTTCCCAAATGCCTGATGCTCCATAAAAACTGCTGACCAACCTATTGTTGATGCATTAAAAAAATTTGCTTTACTTTGGATGGCTTCCATGCTGGGCATCCGTTCTTCTCTCTCAAGTTTTGAGCTACCCATATTGCATCTTCTTTTGCCTGTTTTGTTAATCTTACTGGTGTATTCTATTCCCAGTGCTTTCTGTGAGCTGCATCTATTATAGAGTAAAACTCTAAACAACAAAACTTTGCATGGGCAAAGGCTTTATTTAGAGACTGAATCTTTCCTGCTATTGCAGCTAATTCGCATGCTGAAATCTTCTCTTTGCCTACTAACTCTTGCATCAATCTTCCTGTTTCTACAATTTTGCTTTCTGGAACTATTACTTGTGCTCTTGCAGTATCAACTATCAAATCAAAAAACTTTGCTGTTGTGATGGCTCCCACTGACCTTTTAATACCTCTCTTACCAACCCACATTTTTTCAAATCTACTTTAATTATTGTATTCCTTATAGTTATTAGAATATCTAAAGAGGGATGAGCTAGCCAAAAATTGTCTAAATAATTTTTACAATATAAACCTAGCGACCTCCAATAACCCACTATTGCCCTCATAATCTTTGAAAATATCCAAACAGCTTGTAACAGACCAAAGGAAAGAACCTTCAATTCTCCAATACTTGGAATCTAAAAAAATGCTGCGCATCTTCTTTCATCATCACATGGTGGTAACTATCTTTTAAATTCATGTGATCATATACCAACCCTTGCCAACTGTACATAGTAGACCTCCCGAACCCTCTAGCCGCACTCTTTTTTCGGGCAAGATAGAGTTTAAGCGTCTTAGGTCTATAACTAATCTCTATTTCTTTGGGTCTTTTTTGAGAACCAAGAAAACTGGACTTACTTCTAATAAAAAGGTTGGCCTCTCTAATTGGCTTCCCAAGAAACTTATAGCTAATATCTTTATCAACTCCTCTTGAACCTACTCTCTTTGCTCTATTGTAAACATAGACTACTGTAGAACTGGCTGATCTGCTAATACTAATACTCCTCTTGGAAATAAAGGAACCCCATTTGTTAACCAATCCATAACCACTAGTGCAGGACATATCTTGTGCTGCTAATAACTTAAAGCTTCCTTTGCCTGCATTCTTCCAACAACTGATATTTGTTTCTCTGCCCTTATTGGTAACAATCTTAATTGGCTTGTCACTTCTTTGCTGGTCTGAGTATAGTTAGTCTTTGATCTTGGACTTATTAGGGGCATGAGATCCTGATGAGGGACAATTGGAGGCGATGTGACCAATGCCTTCACAGTGGAAACATGTGACTGTTCCCATATGATCTGAGGAGCCATATCCATTTCTTCTACGAAAGAGAGGTCTTCTGTCTCTTCTTTTACTACTTTTATAAAACTCCCCTTTTTCTAAATCCGAAGAGGGTGGCAAATATCTTTTTCTCTTACATTGGTAATATCTAGACTTCCCACTATACCCGTTACCAAAAAACTGTAGCATAGGCCCCGACTGCCCTACAACAGAAATACGATTCTTATATTTCTCTATCAACTTGTCATTATTACTAACTATCTGCAATGCTGTGCTTTATTCTCTGTTATTGGCAAGTCTCAAGTTAACTGCTCTAGTCTTAATCTCATCTCTAACACTTGAAATTTCCCTCTTAAAAGATACTGGCAACATTTTAATGACCTTGTCCAAATCCTACCATTCTTTGACAAAAAGTCATACTCGTGTTGATCATGTGGCTTTGACAATCTGACCTTGGGCCATGACTTATCCAACAATTCTTCTTCTTGTATTTCCTTGTACAAAGCAACAAAATTTCTATTCATCTTTTTCTCTATGCTTCCCAATACTGATAAGAAGACATCAACTAGCACTGATTCAATCCTCTCTTTCCCTTGCAAGTGATTTGCTAATTCATCTCTGATCTTACTATCTGCCTCTTGTGACTCTATATTAATATCATTGCCCTCCAAATCCACAAACCTACCATTCCTCCAATCTCTTTTATCAATCTCATCTGGTTCCTCTCGTTCTTCTCCTTTCCAACATTTACATCTGACATCTTTCCTCTTTTCACTTCAAAATATGCATGCAACCTTTCACCTTATTCTTCTTTATTTCCTCCAAATGACAGACCACATGATGTGCATAGATCCTTGAGCTCACTTAAAGTTAACTTCGACCACCCAACAACTGACATAATACACTTTACCTAAAACTAAATGAAGATTCTATTAGTACATCCTTATAAAAGGTTATTACTTTATTGTAATTTAATAAATTATAAATTATAAATCATTTTGAATTTAATTCTAGATGAATGCAAAGTCAAATGTTTAACGACAGAGCCAGCCTCTATACTAAGGCGAGTGATAGCAACAAGAAAGATAAATCCCTTAACATACATACAGTACAGCTTAAATACTCTTCATTATCAATAACAGATTTCATGCAACAATGAAAAACAGCCCTCTATTATTCCCAGCCCATTAATTTACATCTGAGCCACCTTTATCTACAATACTCAATTTTACAATCATTAAAAAACCCATATTTAACCAAATATATATAACAAACAATCCAAAGCATAAAAAGATAAAACAAATTAAAACATGTAACCAAATAAAGTCATCTGATCTCGCAATAATGTACACCCTGTTACTACGTTGACAGGCTTCCAGTAATAATAAAATGTGTATATCATTTTATAAATACTTACAAACTAGTAGTTTAACACATAAGTGAAAGAACGGAGAATTAATATTTTAATTTAAATTCTATTGATAATAAAATGTGTGCATTATTTTATAAATACCTACAAGCTGGTAGTTTAGCATGTAAGTGAAGAAGAGAGGTAATATTTTAATTTCGAATTCTATTGATAATAAAATGTATACACCGTTTTAAAAATACTTACAATCTTAACATGTAAGTGAATTAATATTCTAATTTCAAATTATATTGATAATAAAATGTGTACATCATTTTATAAATACTTACAAACTGGTAGTTTAATATGTAAAAGAAGTAATATTTTAATTGATAATAAAATGCATACATCGTTTTATAAATACTTACCAGCTGGTAGTTTAATACATATGTGAAAGAGCAAGAAATAATATTTAATTTAGAATCCTATTAATAATAGTTATGAATAAAAACTACACTTACAGCTGATAGTTTGATACATATATGTTATGCGTCAAAGTTCAAACTTATGTTAGTTTGAAATTTAGAGTCGATATTATGTTAACGTTCAATTAAAATTTGCTCATGTAAATATAAAATTGACCTAATAAGTGTGTTAAATTTAAATTTATATTAACTTAAAATTATATTCGCAAAAGAAAAAATTTGCTTAATTTGATTTTGGATACAGAATAATATCCAAATAATACTTATTTCTAGCTATACGTGTATAGCATTAAATTCTAATTTTCATAATGTTTGTAACTTCATAAAGTTACCAACTATATGTAAACTTAAACTATCTATTAGTACATAAATACTATTCATCACGATTTACACAGCAATTACTACTAGGATGACAATTTGATCCACAAACAATACCAGCTTTCTTACATCTATACTGATTTTGATCAAATTTGGTATGACAATTACAATGAATACCAGCAATAGTTGATGCTGATTGAGCAAGTGCAGCTTCATGAACACCAATCAAAGAATTAGGTATATTTTCAAGTTCAGTAAATTCTTGTGATCCCATTAACTCCATTTCATTTGCTGAATAACACTTATTGTGGCAGATTAAAATGAAATCGGATTAAAATGAAATTTTTCTATTTTTTTAGGAAAATTTGAAATTTTTTGGGTGACATTTTTTAGGGTTAGGGTTAGTGTTAGAGTTAGGGTTTAGAGTTAGTTTTATTAATAAAAGAGTATAAGTGGGTTTTATAAGCTTTAAAGACGAGCAAGAAAGGTCCCCAGTTTCATTTTAATCCGATTTCATTATGATCTGCCACACTAAATATTATACTATTATTTACCTCAATATTTTGATCTATACTGGTTTCAACATTAGCAGTATTTCTTTCATTTAAGTTAGAGTTTAATTCATCATTCTAAATTATATAATTAGTAATTACTATAAAAAAAAATTAAATAATAATATTAAAAAATAAATGATTTACAGCTTCTTGATTTAATTCAATATTTTGATTCAATTCGACATTTTGATTCATTCATTTGTTTGATTTAATTTAATATATTGATTATTTGATTCGATAGTATGATTTTGTTCAGTACTTTGATTCAACTCAACACTTTGATTTAATGTAATGTTTTGACATAATTCAACACTTTGTTCAAACTCAATATTTTGGTCAGATTCAATGATGCTTTCAATGCTTTGTTCAGATTGAATACTTTGTTCAGATTCAATAATTTGTTCAGATTCATTATTTTGATTTAATTGACTATTGTTATAAGCTTCATAATTAGCTTCAAGAATTATTCTATCAGATAATTCTTCTTCATTAATTATGTTAGCTTCATAAAATATAGTTAATAAAGGCAGATGCATTCGTGGTTTTTGACCAAACTCTAATTCATAAGGAGTATGTTTGTAGCACAAGATATTTCAGTATTCATTGCATGTGTTGCTAATGGAAGTCCCTGTGTCCAATTTGTGCCTTTTTCATCTTCTATCCATTTAGATAACTTATGTTCTAAGCAATCATTTGCCTTTTCAATAGAGCCCTAAGACTCTGGATGCCATGGGCATCCATTAATAATTCGAATGCCTGGCCATAGAGATATTAATTGGCGAATTATACTTGCTATAAATTCTTTACCATTATTGATATGTAAGATAACAGAAGGGCCAAATATAATAAAAATATTAAAAAGTGCAATTGCAACTTCTTCAGCACGTTTGGAAGTTAAAGGTGATGACCAGCAAAATTTTTAGAAATGATCTTTTGCATGGCATATGTATCTATATTCATTATCGGGTTTACTCATCATTAAAATTAAATCGACCTATAAATATAATAATTTATTAAAAATTTATAATAATAAATAAAATTATAAATTTATAATTACCTCAATCCTTGTCATAAATTTAGTATGAATTATCAGTTTTGCTGCAACATGTTGAAAAAAATTACAATGTAGTTCACAAGTTTTACATTGTGTAACAAATTTTTCAACCAAATCTTGATAAATAAAGCTATATTGATTTCGAAGTTCATTTCATAATTTTTGCTAACCACCATGCTGTTGTGTTCTGTGTGTACTACAAAGAATATTATGAAGTTTTCTTTTATAGCAACAGGCTTATCTTTATGATAAAGATAATAAATAACTTAGATCCTTTTCAGTTCCAATATTTTTTATTGTAAATGTTGATTGCATCCAATATCTATCTTGAGCTGTTCTATAGCTTGTTTTAGGATTTAAAATAACATATATAGCTTGATCATATACTTGTTGTATTATAAATAATTTTTTTGGTAATGAATATCTCTACCTTGAATATAATTTTCTAAAAATGAATTAAAAGCACTTTATTTAAAAAAGAAAAACTCTTCACTATTATTATTTTCTATTGCAAAAATATGAAAGAAAAAAAAAATAGCCAAAACAATTTATATGTAATTATTAATCACTAAGTAAAATCATTTGCATCACTACTACCATCACTAGGTCAGCTTTAAATTGACATAATATTAGCTTGAAATAAAATTTTATTTTTATATCGATCCTAAATTTTAAGTTAACATAAGTTAATTTAGAATCAATGGCTATTGGAGTTCAATGTACAACATATATAAGTGATAGAATTTAATGATGAATACTGTGATAAAAATAAAAAACTTTATTTTACTAATTAAGAGCTGCAACAACCAACATGATTCAAATAATATAAGAAATACACTAATTGGTTCAAAAGTGCCTCTACTAAATAATCCAAAATGCTGGAATAATTATTACTGGAAATACTATAATATTAAGAATGAAAAAGTAAAAAAACTATATCCAGGATCTTCAGATATTTTTTATGCTTAATTAATGCAAAGACAGTGCAAACTACTGTACATGTAAACATATTTTTATATAATTTAAAATTTATTTTGAAGCTTGAAAGTTTAGATCGGTGCTCTAATAATTATTCACTAATTCCACCTTCTATATTACACATATTGATCTATTTTTTAAAAATTGTAATTCTAGCATTTAAAGTACAATTTTAGACATGACATAATGTTACAGAACGAAGAGAACAATCTTGCAAATTTTAATTTCTGCAGATACTGTAATTTAAAAAAAATTTGTCATTAAAGAGTTTATATTTATTTAATATCATATTTAATATATGCTTTGATTTTAAACATCTAAAAGTACAAATTAAGATACAATATAATACTATAGCTCAACATTAAATCTGTGCTGTTTCCTTTGTAGATTAATAAGAAAAAAAAGGTCTAAGATTTTTAATATAAATTTTATCAAGTTTGGTAGTTCTAAAAAAAAAAAAATTTGAAAAAATATATTCCTTAATCTTAATAAATACCTAATCTTATTTTAAAGAAGAGACTATTAAACTGATTAAATTAAGCTCCTTTCAACCATAACTATTCTTTTATTTAGTATAAGTGGTCTTTTGCAGAAACTTAATATTTACACAAAATATCATATTTGATGTTTCCAAAGCAATCAGAAATTAAGGAAAATTTTATTTAAATGAATAATAAATACGATTAAAGGTAAGGTGTATGTAGATCATTTTTCATATAATCTACATGGTATATTGGATTTTTACATAGCAGTTACACAATTTGTCATGTAGATCATGTGTATAAATTTTTTAGTTATAAGTCAAATGATTGATACACCTAAATTTCATAAGTAAATTTTAAGCAAATTTTGTTTTTTTGGCCTATTTAGCAAAAAGAAGTTGTCAGTTTATTTTCTGAGTCTGAGTTTGTAAATTCTCTAGCATTTGAAGCTTCTCCTTATAAAATTTTGAGTGTGGTTTATAATAAAATATAAAATAATTTTAACTACAATGCTAGCCAATTTTTTGACAATTTTTATAGTTTGTTTATAAGTAATGCATATCATTTCACCAAAATTAGTAATTAGATCTATTAATTTAGTTGATAGTCCTAGTTCAGTTAGGGAATATACCGAATTAAGAAATCGGGTTCTAGATTAGGAAATCAGGTTCTAGAATGATCTTGCGTTGATTCTTAGATCTGATTGGCTCCTATGCGCTTCTTTGGCAGCACTTTTCAGAAAATTTTTATACACTTTAGTCGTTATAGAAACTATGAATCGATACACAAGTAGATATTAGAAAACAACTAGTTTAAATAATCTACAATAATCTACTCTAATTTGCATTCCTCAAAAAAGTAAATGAGACTCAAAATTCAAAGATCTGTCTTACACGAACTGAACTGTAAAAATGTAATTTAGCTAATTGGATTTATATTTTTTGTAGTGTCAACTT